TGAACACATATTCAAACCTTTTTGAACTGTTAACTCTAAGCCTCACTTCTGATCCTAGATTTGTCTCCATTAGCTTCTGAAGGTAACGAGGAAGTATTACGTATGATTGGGATGGATGTCCGTACACTTTTTCAAGTGCTTTCTGTCGTGCTCGCCATGCTTTCTTGTATGACAAAGTAACACCACACTCATTCTTCATGTCTCGGATTATGTCGGCCGGAGTATAATTGGTTTTCAAGTTTTGAAATTTATCTTCAATACAATAACCAACTATAGTTGTCGTTGCCTGCCGCTTTTCATTCATTCTACATCCAAAGCTGCAACTATGTTCCATTGACAATTTTCTGATTCTGAAAGTTGGAGAACATCCAATTTATGAAGCTTTTAATTTCCATGGGCAATTTTTGTCAATGCACTGTATGTAATACTGCCGCTGACAAGACTTTGCTACCATATATTGGAAATTATGTTTTATAGCATACAAGCTTAAAAGTTTCTTCAACTCATCCTTGTCGATGTATGTCTGTCCTACTTCGAGCAATCCTTCAAGGCTTGATGATTTCTTCATTCCTGATTGTCTCATTTCTCTTCCCTCTATCATCTCAAAGGTTTCATCTGCTATTTCTACAAGGCTTTTTGAACAATGTTTTGCTCTTTCCATCCATAAGTTACTCTCATTTTTTCCTTTCTTCAGAAAATCATCTGACACCATATTCAATGGTTGTACCTGAAATGCTGTTGTGGTTGTATCTGATGAATGTATAACTGCATGCTTCGTGATTGACAACACCTCTTTCTCTTCTATGGTTGCACACAATGGGAATTTAGTGCAATCGGATTCTTTCTTCCTCAACTCCTTGTAAAATCGAAGGCTCATTTCATTGTTTATGCATATTGGTCTGTAGCCATCTTTTACTTGATAATGAATTCTCAAACTTGAGTTTGATGAATCAATCCCTGCTGCTTTCTTTATAGTTTCAAGTAAGTCTTCCAAATTTTCATTTTCTTTATGAAAGATACCACAAACTTCATATCCTTCATATTCAACTTCACTCATCCAATTCCCATTGTAATGCACAAAAATTAGTTCGCCATTCATCGTTCCTGAAAATCACAAAAAAATAAAATAAAAAAATAACATAAATCATTCCTTAAAGGATATATAAAAATTTTTTTGAAAAAAAAAGGATATATGAAAAATAAATTAATCATAATATATACTTCTATAATTTTCATTAAGTTATGTACCTCTATCTTCTCTCTGTTTTTTTTTATTGAGCTTCTGTCTTCACCTTCTCTTCTTTCTCGGTTGCTGTTCAGTTATCTCTCAACAGATATAATGTTTATCCTCTTTAATGCTTCCAAACATTTTATTTGGCAGTTAATAGAGTAAGTGGAGTAACTCAATTCAGATCAGTTCATGCATGTAACTTCTATCTTCTTTTTTTTTTTTGTTAAAAAAAATGATTTAAAATTCAAAATTTTTCATTTAGAGCCTTTTTTTATCGAGCCTTGTTATACGTGAAGTGAGATTAAATGATATGTTATTGGTCAACACTCACAGAGGCCCAATTCTTTTTTTTTCTCTTATTTCCCATTTCCTCTCCATCTCTCAATCGATTTTTGTACAGATTCAAAATCAGATTCGATTTCTCCTCCAAAGATTTTCCTTCGACCATAATCTCTTCCATGGTTCCATCATTTGAACCAATACCCAAATATAGATTCTAACATCTGGGGTCGGAATCGAAATGAAATTGGCCATAGGTGCGCCGCTCGGAAAACGCCGGGCGAGAGGATTGATCGCTGCTTGTCACGGTTGGAGTAAGCTACTCTCGGTGGTGACATGCGCCGTGGATCCTGGCCGAAGCGGCTGCTACGATGTCTCGCGGTTAGGGCTTGTGCGGACAGTGGTTCAATCGGGCGGCCTGCGTCTGAACAAATCGGCAATCGACGGCGGAGGATAGGTGGTGAACGACTCGTTCACGGCAGCGTGGATCTCCTCCCAGTGAGAGGCTCGTCTGCGGCGATCGGAGGCTGGACTGGGGTTCGCTGGTCGCCGGGGCGCTACTGTCACGGTGTTGGCCTCCGGTGATGCCTTCGGTTTTCCAGGTCTCGCTCGCGTGTGATGGCGGAGTGTGTTTGGTTGCAACGTACGCGGGGGCTGCGGGCAGTACACGGAACGCCAATGATAAGGTAGGGCGTGGACAGAGGTTCTTCGGCCAGGCTCGCGATGTTCTCGGTATGCTGTGGGTTCTGCTCGCGAGCGGCAATGACGGGTGATGAACGGACACCGGCGAGGCTGCTCGTGGCGGTTGCAGGCCTCATGAACTCGATGGCGAGATGTTGTTGGTTAAATCTTATTTTGGTTTGCTTGATGATTTGTATTGAAATTTGAGGATCTAATTCAATTTGAAGGTAAACTGTTGTGTGTGTTTCTGGTTGATGATTATTAGAAACGGGGGAAGAGAGTGCGGTCCCACCAGATGAAGGCGCACCATAAGAGGGTGAGCCTAGATGCACCTTAGTGAGGTTCCATCCCAAAACCAATTGGTGATGGGAGGAGTAGCCCACTAGGCTTATATACTAGACTCATTTTCCCTGTAGAATCAATGTGGGACACTCACAAGTGATATTCCAACAATGATCATGAGGCTTGGGGACTTAGTTATGATGGCTGCGGAAAAAAAATTTTCGTGTGAAGGCCACCAAAATGAGTTTTCTGATTTTGCTGAAGCAAACAAAATGAGTCTCCTTAATTGATAGGGAAATTAAAGGGATAATCATGCCAATAATAATGAGATGTAATTTGCATAATCGGCTACAAAAAGGGGAGGGATTTGAGCTGAAAAATCCCTTCCAAAATATACCTCTTTAGTATATGAATTTCAAAATAAAAGTTTGGTGAAAAAGAAATCTCGAAAGCCGAATTTCCGTCTAAACCCGAGCCGAAAGAAATAGCTTAAAGGGCTATAGAATTGGATACGGAAACTGCTAGCGACGATTCCCTAAATAAAAACAACTGGCACTTATATAAATAATACACGTAATAATATTTATATCAATTAAGCAATTAATAACAATTAGGCAATTAAATATCAAACAAAATAATAATAATAATAATAATAATAATAATAATAATAATAATAATAATAATAATAATAATAATAATAATAATAATAATAAGAAGGCATTATCAAAAATGGTATCCGAAGAATCCATAAAATTCCATTTTTGAACGGGGCGCTACATTGAAGTAGTGTGGTTCGAAGTGTTTCGAACAGAAAGATCACCTATCAGTTCTTTATAAGACTAAACTATTCGTTAACAGTCTATACAGGCAGTGAGACCCCTCTTGGAAAAAGACTGTAGTGTATTCTTGATTCAGTTGGTCTTTGACTGAAGAATTACACTAGCATTTATGATAAGTGTTGAACAGGACCGCATAAGGATAAGATTATGAGACTCACTGATCGTTGTTGTAATCTAGACCTTCGGTGATTGATGCGTTCTCTTAAGCTGTAAGATAATATAAAATAGGCATATATATTCACTTCTTGTTTATTTGATGTACCAAGTGATTCTTATTTTTATTAGGATGACATACGAGGTATTTTGGTAAATGAGAATGATTATATGATGTGCTATTATAGATTATTTATGGTCACTATGTTCCAGTGCACTGGATTGATGACGTCCCCGAAATGAGCTCAGGATGTACATTATGTTAAAACCTGCAGGTAGATGATTGTCTGACATAATGGTTAAGGATCTGAGTGGTACTAATTTCAGAAACGAATAAGAAGTTGATTAATTATTTTGTCAGTAATTTAATTAATCAATAGACGTTATATCATAAACATAGGGAGGTAAATTGATCAATCAGATTAATCTATATATATATATATAAAGAATTAGCATTTACTAAAAATAGTAGCAAAAATTTAGGAAACATTTAATGCATACTATATTTAGAAATTTTTTTAAATATATGCATTAATTGTTTCTATTTACACGTTTTCAAATAAGATCAAATATGATGAAATAATTACTTAAATAAATTTATTAATATCTGCAGTATTTTTTATTGATATTTATTATAATAAATTACATGTGATTTTGGTGATTCATGTTGATAATATTTTGGTCAAAATAAATATTATTTTATTAATATTTTTAATACTTTCATTGATATTCATTATAATAAATTACAAAATTGATTTATGTGATCCATGTTGATAATATTTTGGTCAAGATAATATTACACCATATTTTAAGTTTTGACCAT